GTACAAATAATTTTAAAATCAATATGAAATCAATTTTATCTCACAATTTTGGAAATTTGATCTTGTATACCTCTGACATTATTTCTCTATTAAGTACATCTGTATTTGAATTTTTTAATATTTTTTATTATAAAATATTTAATAGTGGGTCCCATAATTTATTTTTAACATTTTTATAATATAAAAAATATTTTGCTGTCTCCTCCCTCTCCCTCTTCTTTGTCTTCCTCTAGCACCGCCAAACCAGACTAAACCAGGGTGAGCAACACCAAGTTAATTTAACTTGTTTCCTTTGTTGCTGCCTTACACTGCTTCGGGAGCCAGCAACGGTGCACTTGTTGGTCCTTCCTCAGCCTCTTCGGGCCCTGCTGGTGTTTCCACTGATTACAACAATAACGAAGATAGTATTGGCGCCTCCTTGCACTAGGCAGATAGATAAACTAGCTAGCCACCTTCTATTGCTCCTACTTCTCCTACCTAAGCTTGAATCTTGCAACTATGGGTACCGGAGGCTACCTTCGTCTCCACAACTTCATCATCCCGTTCGACGAAAACTCCGACTATGACTCCTTTTGAGAGGCATCACAGATGGACATCAAGAGGAGGGGTTGATGGTGACGGAGTTCTCTCTCTCCTCCTCTTTCATGCATGCATACATCTTCTCAAGACTCGCCCTTGTTCCTTCGTGATCTTCGCAGTGGATCATGGAGTTCGGAGTGCCAAGAAGACAGAAGCTGTTGACGGTGATGATGAGTGTCGGAATCATGGCCCCACCTAAGCTCAAACACAACCCTAAACCGCCCACACAGTGCCATACTTGTCGTTCTCGAAACTTTCTTGCTCTGGTTCTGAAGCAAGCAACTTGGGTGGTGGGGAGCGAGAGAATGTGAGGGAGGAGAAAGAGGCGAGAGAGGAGAGGGCTAATAAGGTTCGCTCGACTCTGTTAGGAGTGATGACCTCATTGGGTTCATGATGATTTGGCTGATAGATTGATAGAGACTAGAGAGGATCGAGAACTTTATTTCTAGTTTGTTTCTTCTGCTTTATTTTGCTTCAAGTGGGTTGAACACTGATGAGTCAAGCTTGAACCTGTCACACCCCAAAAATTAGGTATGACTGGCACGGGATATGAGCACAAAACTCCTATCCCTTAAGCCGTGATTGAAGAAACTTTGAAATTAATACGTCAAACACACTAATAAGCTAATTAAAAATTGTTACAATACTAAATCAGATATTAATTTTAAAAGAAATGTGAGGATCCTACCTGTAATCTACGTGGAGCACCTAAGGCCAGACACCAATGTAGGTGTAAAGTTCAATTTTTCAGCAAATTAGGATTTGACTAAAATAATTCTTCTGCTTCAATTCAGCAATAAAATTCCTCAGTGGATATCTCGAGTCATGAGTTTAGCTATACCGTCTGAGACCAAAATAATAACTTCCAGTGAATAACATCCCAACAATAAGTAACAAAATTTAAATAAAAAGGAAAGTTTAAAATAATTGTAAGTCAAAGAGACAATAGTTTTTAGAAAAATGTAATAAACTTTAAAATAGAATAACTTTATAAATTTTTTTAAAAATTAAATCTTAAATCATTAAACTATCATAGCAAATATTAATAGGACTTGCTTCCAAAAAAAAAAACACATAAATGAGATAAATAGTTATAAATAAATTACTGAGTAACATCAATGGAATATAAAATCCTCAAATAATTGGATTCATAATTATAGGGATTTATTAGAACAATTTACAAACGTGGACACACAGTCCACGAGGGTAACTAACCAAACGCGGCTTATACCACGAAAACAAACGTGGACACACAGTCCACGAGGATATGTAACCAAACGTAGCTGAAGCCACGAAACAAACGTGGACACACAGTCCACGAAGGTAATGCTAACCAAACGCGGCTTGAAGCCACGAAATCAAACGCGGGTACAAAGCCCACGAATAACCATCCCTCCATTCCACGTGCGTTGGCCATCGCACGGGGCTAGCACCTCCTATAAACACCCTGCTAGCTAGGTGTACCACGGCGCGCCAAGGGCTAACGGAACTGCCGTTAGCAACCAGTGTTCTACATAAAGTCCCTTTTTAAAATCGTTTTCAAACATGCGAGAAAATCATCACTTTCAAGATACAGTTCTCATTCTCAAAATCAAACTCGCATGAATACTTTTAAGCATTAAAACTTGCCAGAATCAAATTTCATATCCAATGCTCATGCTTGTATTTATAAAAAAAATCTTTCAACTTCGAACTCGCATGAATCGTTTTTCTGTAACAATTCAATAATTTTCAAACTAAAATCCCACAATTAAAATTCAAACTTGTATTTACTGATTAACTAAAATGATCAATTCTGGTAAAAATTTCATGAAATAAAGTAAGTTAGTCAACAAAATATCTCACAATCACATTGTTGTCATAAAAAGAATTTGCATAAAAATGTAATATTTGAATAAAAGAGATTTTAATGAAATATCAGTTGGGACGCTATCCACTTACCTGATAATTCCCAAAATAATAATATGTGCTTTTTAAATGCCTCTCCGTTTCCCTTTAGCTATGCTATTACCTAGACCAAAAGAATAAACAACTATCTTTAATAAGAGCTCCAATTCATATATTTCTAACTGAAATTCGTGAGCCCAATATGTAATCTAGAATAATTTTAAAGTCCACAATCCTTATTTGTCCTTAATCCACTATCCATATTTAGAATTATATTCTTTCTATTCCTTTCTCCCACCTATAATGACATATTCATCTTAACCATGCCTCCTTCCTTTAGTAACTGATAAATGATTTATTCTTAAGGCTCTTTGATAATTCTTCATAAAGTACACATTATTCAAAACAGTACAATTCCTTACCTTACAAAACCACAACCGATCTTATGACACCTTAAATTCAATATCATAAATATCATCAAGCATAACAAATTTCTTCCTTGTTCCTCTGTGCTTCAAGACCCAAACTACTCCTAACAGTTTTAAAATTTCACCTAACATGTTCAAACTCTAACCTATACACCATCAGGTCAAACCATCTTCATTTTTATTCAAATCCTCTCATAGCTTAGGCATGTGTAGGATCAAACAAGCAATAAAGGAGAGTCTACAATCCTAGCTACATAAACTTATTCACATAACACATATTAACATATTCGTATATATAAAAGAACTAAGTGACCTATACATTAAAATTTAATTAGGATTAATTTGGTAAAGTTTAAGCACTCATTTATATAAAAATTTTCACTCAATCATTCCGTCAAACACTGCATGTGCAAGAGAAAATTAGTGTGACAAGCTTCTTTCTTTCCTTAATTCTTTATCCAAGCCACATATAGACCCTAACAAGTCTTCTCCTAAAAACTCATGTCCAACATAAACGGTTACATGCAGCAGGAACAGAGGGAAAGGAAATTCTTGTGGCTTCCATCGTAAACTCACGCACTTAATCACACAAGACCATCAAGAAAGAGAGTTCGAAGCCAATGGTTTCTCTAACACATACACACATACAGAACCGAGGAGGAAGAAAGAGATTTGAAAATCCATACCTTTGATCAATAATATCAAAAATGTAAAAAGGTACACTGCTGTTCGAACAAGGAAGAGGAAGAAAGAGATTCTCATGCACGTACAACAGCCAGCCGAACAGAGCTCAGAGAGCGACGCGAAATAGAGGAGTAGGAGAAATCATGTATTAGATCTCCAGCAGCGGCGGACGGCGTTCTAGCTCACAACCTCATTCGCAATGTTGAAGGCAATCGAGGAAGGAAAGGAGAAGGTGAAAGAGATCAAGAATTCCGGTTCCTCTCTCACTCGAGCACCGGTAACAGATCAAAGAAAAATGGGAAAGGAGGATTCAGTAACGAGAAAACAGGGGAGAGATTCAGGCATCACCATTACATGAAGGACGAACTCGCAACTTCGAGTCTTGACAGTAGCGGATTCATAGCGAACACCGACATCAGCGACGAACTGAGCAGCCAAGCTCCTCACTCGTACACTTCAGAAACACAGAAAGAGAATGGATGGAGAAGAACAAACGACCAAAACTCTCGACTTTCTCTCTGGCCCACACTCACACCGGCGACGGCAAGGACGAAGGCTGATAGAACAGAGGGAGAGAAGAGGCGATCTCTCTGGTTTCTGGAATTTTCGAAGAAGGAGAAAGAAAAATGAAAGAGGCGGTGCCCGTATCTGACCGAAGGAGAAATATAATTTGAATTTTTAAGAAATTGCAAAAATTATAAAAGAGAGCCCAACATTGTCTCTAATAACATAAAAGACACGGACACTTTGATAAATTTTTCAAAATTTTAAACTAAATAAAATTAATATCTAAAAATATTTAAACTTTAGACCTTCAAGTAAGCTATTAATATAATTTTTACTAATTCACCCTTTTCCATTTTCCATAAATAAATTCAAATAAAATATAAATTGGGAAATAATAATAAAAATTAATTTTATTTATTTTTTTTATTTTTAAATTTTAAGGTCATTACAGAACCAAGCTTGTCTCCTCCGAACTCGTCTCCTTTGAATTCTTCTCCTTCATCTTCTAACTTGTCTCTCCCTCCCTCTCTCTCTCTCATGCCCAGAAACCCACGAGTCAAGCCTCTTGATATAGTGACGCCTTATGCATCCCAGGTTTAGTTGCATGGCAGGGACAAGCTTTTTACGTCCTCATGTAGATGATGTTGTTTTTGGTGATAGATGCACTTTGGTGAAGCATGGAGAGAGAGCTTGAGGGTGGTGATGGGTAGAGGACAAGCATTCTGTAGATGCACTTTAAAGAGAGAGGGGGGTCGAAGGCATAGAGAAATCTTAATGGTGGAGGGAAACTCTTATCGCCCCTTGTACATATAGAGGAATCATGGAGATGGCATCGAGGACCTGCTTGCTTGAGGCACAATCAACAAACAAGAGCTCGGGTTTAGCTTAGCTGATGACGACAGTGAGAGCGTGAGCATGATGGAGGAAGTAGCTGATGATGTTGAGGACGGCGTTGGTGAAGGGAACTACGAACTGGAGCTCATATTGTGACGTTGAGAGAGTGGGGAAGAGAGGAGAGAGGGAGAGAGAGTGAGGAGGAGGAGAGAGAGAAGAGAGGTGGATGAGAGAGAGGGAAGTGGGGTCTCTCCACTTCCTTTTCCTCCATTTCTCTCTACTTCCCCATCTCTACCATTCATTAATTTTTTCATTTAAAAAATTATTTAATAAAAAAATTTGAACGGTAAAGATGGGAGAAATGGAGGGAAAGGGAGGAAAAGAAAGGAAGAGACCTGGTTAGAGAGAGAGAGGGGCAAGGTGTAAAAAAATAATAAACAAATATGGAGCAAGCCCACTAACAAATAATTAACAACAGGGGCACTGAGGAAGTAAGATTTTGAGGTTAATTAAGGATAAAATTAACCCTTAATTAAGTTTATAATCATTTTGTAAACTTTTATGTATAGTTCATGGATCAAAATGACCCTTAACTCTTTAATTTAATATATAAGATAGATTAAATCTTTTTCCTTCCTACATCATAAAGCTAAAATGTTTAACTTTGTTTTAGGGGATGCAAGAAAGATATACCTCAAAACTTGTGTGCCCTTGATGAAGTATGCATTGAGAGGAGATTGGGAAAATGCACAGCCCTTTTTGTTGCATCAAAGGATGTTGGTAAATGCCGGCATTGCCAAAGGACACCCAACAATGTTGCATCTGGCAGCAGGAGCTAATCATTTTCATTTTGTAAAGCAACTCTTAAATTATTTGAATGAAGATGATTTAGCATTACAAGATTCTGAGGGAAACACTGCCCTTTGCTTAGCTGCTGGAGTAGGAAACATAAAGTTGGTTGAGATTATGTTGCAAAAAACTCCTTCCCTGCCTGGAATTAGGAATAGAGAAGGTTTAACTCCTCTCCATATTGCGGCTATACAAGCAAAACGTCAAATGACATCATATCTATATAACAAGACTAAACAAACACTTGAAGATGTCGATCGGAGGAAGTTATTCTTCATCTGCATTCAAAATGATATCGTTGGTAAGTTTATTATCCTTAACACATGAATTGTTGTGCGTTAAATTCATAATTATATTTATATTCTATCAAAATTTTGTCATGTATCTTATTTAAATGATATTATTTAAAATTTCAATTTATTTATTTAATTTTTTAAAAGATAATCATGACAATTAGAAAAATAATATAAGGTAATATTAATTGTCTTTTTTAAAGACTATTGTGATTTTTTAAAGACTATTGGTGATGTACTCATTTTTGGTAAATGTTATGTAATATATTTTTAATATTTTTAAAAAAGCTACGAAGCTGAAAAAAATAAAATTGAATGGTAGTATAATATGACATTTTTATTTTAATGCAAGCATGACATAATTTTCAATTTCAAGTGGACAGTTTATTTTTAAGTCTTTGATATTGATATCCATTTATATATCTCTATATTTCATATTATACTGATAACTTTTTTTTTTGGTATTATCAATTCTGATTTCTGACAATTTTAAAAAAATTTATAGGTATAGCATTGGATTTATTAAATAATATGGAAGGTTTAGCTCTTGCAAAAGATGAAAAGGATGAGACAGCCTTGCATGTCTTAGCTAAGAAGACTTCAAGTTTTAGTGGTAATATTTTTAAGCATTTAATATTTTTACTTTATCTACAGTGTAATGCTAATTGCAGTAGCTAAAATTTTGTAATTACCAATTTAATTTGTTGACTCAATAATTGATTAAGGGAATGAACTTTGGTGCTGTATTTTTTTCTTATTCAGCTTTTGGTTTCTTTTTGTTTAATTATATATATGATTCAGGTATGAAGTAGACTAAATCTCTTCAATTGGTTGGTAAGCTGTGGAATTTGATTCTGCATACTGTTGACTCTGGGGTAGATATACAAGAAATAATCAAAGGACCATTGTTTGGTGCTGCTGAAGTTGGAAATTTTGAGTTTTTAGTTGTGCTCTTGAAGAAGTATCCATATTTGATTTGGGAGGTGGACAATAGAAATAGAACGATAATTCATATCGCAGCGCTATATCAACATCCAAAAATCATGAACCTCATCCATGACATTAGTCCAATCAAAGTTGTCATATTGACACTTACCGATATAGAAGATGGGAATAACATATTGCATCTTGCCGCAAAAGTAACACCATCAAATAGATTTGAGTTGGTGACAGGCGCAGCATTTGAAATGATATGTGAGCTAGTATGGTTTGAGGTAGTTTGCCCTTATGTGCTTTCGGTGATTAATTTTAGATTTTCTAGCATCCTTTTCAAAAATGTGGATTCAAGCAATTTGAAATCACAAAATCTTCAATATTAGATATATGTATTTGCTTTAATTTATATCTATGCATTAATGTTTTCTAAATAACATTTTAATATGGCAGGAGGTGAAGAAGATTATGTTGCCCTTACATATTGAGAAGAGAAATTTGGAAGGCCTAACTCCTCAACAATTATTCAGTAGAGAGCATGCTAAATTACGACAACATGCAGCGGATTGGATGAAATTCACTGCAAGTTCTTGTATGCTAGTTTCATCACTCATTGCGAGTGGAATGTTCTCGATTGCATTCGGCATAACAGAGTATGCAAGTAATCCAACAAGTCTTACATTTGCAATATCTAATGCTCTTGCATTGGTCTCAAGTTTAATATCATTTGTGGCTTTTCTGTCTGTCCTCACTTCAAGATATGAGGAACATGATTTTCACAAATCTCTACCTAGAAAGCTGATGACTGGATTGCTGACTCTTTGCTTAGCCATATCATTCATGATTTTGGCATATTACAGTGGCTTCTACATTACATACTTCGGCGGCAAAAGGTGGATTTTTACTACCTTATGTTCTGTGGTATTGGTACCCATAATCATGTTTGGATGCCTAAAAGTCGAACTTCTTTATAGTATCACGCATTCGACATTTCTTGTGAGGCGTCTTTTAGTTCGACCCGGCAAACATAACCTTTATTAGACAAGCTGGGAACATTTATTGTATGCTTATTTGAACTCTTGAACAATTTAGTTTATATGGATCTTTACCTCTTCATTGTGAAAAAGATGGTTGAATTATGATCGAGTATTACATTGCTGAAGCTGTATATGAGAATCAGAAAGAAATGTTTCAAACATATTCCAGCACATTAACTTATTTCTAAATCTGTGTTTGTGATATTTGGTTGCAATAGGTGGGTGAGTGATCCATTGGAGTAAAGTTGATAGTACAGTCATGTATGAAAAAATTCAAATGTGCAAATAGTTAAAGCATTGAGTTATATATGTGTGTGTTAAAACATAAGGTTCTTCCGATGATAATGGGTGCTTTCATACTGGGTCTGAGACAAAAATACCCATTTTATGAATATGTATCTGCATGTTTTCAAAGTTCATCCTTAAACTACAGAAATTTAAAAAGAATAAAAAGGGCTCCCAAAAGGTGATCTATCTGGGAGGATGAAACTGGTTAAATGTTTATGGGACTAACCAATGTCTTACGTGCTTGCTAAAGCTAAGTTCTTTGTGTTCTTTGTCTCTGATTCGTCCTGTTCCAACAAAGCCATACTCTTTGGTCATCCTCCTCTTTTTCAGCCTTTTGGTCATCCTCTTCTTCATCCTCCTCTTTTTATTGTTTCTTTTCCAGGTTCAAACACATTGGACAACAATCATGGCATCAGTCAGGGTGCTCGTTCTTACTTTGCCTCTTGATCCTATTTGTTTATGCAGCAATTAGTCGAATAGCAAAAATTGTTATAATCCAAAGGCCAGTCCCGTAACTGATCTAAACAAAATGATCAGCCCTAACAAATTAATATCAGACACCGAAAGGACAAACACAAGATTGCAAATAAAACGCTACAATAACTCGATCCTCGGAGATTTTAGAGAAGAAGGGAGGCATAATTCGTGTGGCAGGGCTGACTTCCTCTGGTTTTCCGTCGCCCCTACCTCTTCTTGCTTCAACCACGACCCATCAGAGACCTCATTTTTTCTGTGCTAATTTGGTTTTTTTTTAATATTTGCACCCTCATTACAAATTACAGCAAACTTGGCAGCATTTTTTATCGCGGGTAAGGCGTATACTTAATTTTCCCTATCTTTTTATTTTACCTAAAATACATAAATAAATATTTAGTTGACCATTAATATTAGATATGGCTAAACTACTATCTAACCATCTGAAATCTTAAATTCTAATTTAATTGTTTTGGAAAATTAATATTATCTTTTATTTCGTTGAGATTCTATTTCTAATACTGAATAACACATCATATGTTTTGGAAATATTAAATAAGTTTGATTGGGAATAGTTATTACAAAACTCATATTTGAGTTCTATAAATATAATATCTTGTTAGGTTGCTTATAGACTTTGAGTGCACAAGTTTTTTCTAGAGTATTTCAAAATGTTTAACAGAGTATTTTGATCATGTATGACATTTTGGTTTACACAAAAGAGATATGATTAAAATAGTGAGCACAGGATAATAACGTTTTTTTTTTTTGAAAAATTGGAATGTCAAAATGTTTAATAGATTTGTGTATTTTGATCATGTGTGACATTTTGGTTTACACAAGAGAGATATGATTAAAATAGTGAACATAGGATAATAACATTTTCTGAAAAATTTGAAGCTTTAACAACCAATTTTAAAAACTTATATCTATTTAATATAAAATATTTTTTAAATGAAATAAATTTTTTTGGAAAGCTTTGCAAGTATATTTTGGAATGAAAGAAGTTTCATATTAAATGGATTTGTATATTAATAGATATAGAGAAAATATAGATTAATGATAAAAATCAAATATCTTTCAAAACTCTTAAGCTTCAAGTGTAAACTCCAAGTGATAACAACATAATTAAATTCATATTAAAACTTTTCAATACCCAAGATAAATTCAAGAAGGAATTGGAGGGAAACCAAGTACTTATGCCGATAATAAATTTAAAGAAACTTAGAACTTTGGATAAGATAATAAAGATTAAGCATATAGATCATTTACCCTTAATTACCACTAAACACTAATTAAAATCTCTACAAAAGTAAAATATATATTTTGTAATCATCAAAATTAAAGTTCAACGTAAATTAGAGAATTAAAATTGTTTGGATTTAAAGAATGACCAAGTGGTTTATTTTGCCGGTTGGAGTTTAATATGAAAATCATATTTTTATGAATGGTTCTGTACAACCTACCTAATAATTGTTAGATACATTCAGGAAGCCTCATATCCCCTCTTGCATAATTGATGATGGATGACTAAAATGTCTGCGGTGCCTAGTTCCTTAGTTGTAATTTAAATATTATGCAAATTACCTTGTTTCATAGCATATGTTTTGTTTTCAACTGTTTTCGACTTCTTTCACTCCTCTGAGGTATTTCATGCTTCCAAAAGTTATTTTACTCTGATATAAAGGGTTTTGATTGATTTAAAATCATTTTTATTTAGAAAACTTGGGATCTCTTGCTTTTAAATTAAACCTTAATAATAATCTTTTTGAGTTAAGTATCTGATTACCAAGTGCTATATTGGTTAATTATGTTTAGTGAAGTGAGAATGTTTCAAGTAGTCCACGAGTCTTTGAGAAGAGAATGGAAAGAGCCCTCAAGCATCCAAGTAGCGTGACAATGAAAAGGTTTAGGATGGTGTTGATGTTGATCATTTCTATGTAGTTGGATTTTGATTGGGTGATGGTCAAAACCATACTTTAGAAGGTGAAAAGAATTAGCTTGGTGGAATTGTAGTCTCTATATTGAGTTGCAGAAAGCCTAATCAAGACATTCTTTAACAAAGTCTTTTTCCCAAGTAAATCTGTCACTATGGAAGCTTAGTTCAAGAAGGTTGGAAGAATTAACACAGTGTCTAAATTGTTTCAAAGATCTTTAATTGTAGCTGTTTCCTCTAGTTTTATCTTCACATGAGAGATATGAATTGAAGTCACCTATAACAAGCTAAGGATCATTCATATTTTGAGAAATAAAGATAATAGAATCCTAGAGAAGATCATGATTGTAAGGATTCGGGTCACCATAAATACAAGAGAACAAGTAAGAGTTACTTGAGCTTAAAATGTTAACCCTACTGTGTAATAATTGAACATTAGAGTAAATATATTCAATATTAACAAAATTATTATTCCATAATAACCAAATATCGCCAACATAACCAGTAGCTTCAACACAAATCTAATAAAAAAACCTAACTTATGAACAATTTTATTAGCTGGGTTCTATGTAACACATGCTCTGAGTGTTATCCAAAAATCACATAATTTGAATAAAATAAGTGTGGTTAAGGAGTTGATCCTCTAACCAACTTAAGAAATAAATCATTTAAAACCTTAAAAAAATTATAGGTTCTACCTATAGCATCCGGAAGCAAGCTAGACAAAAAGGAAATAAAAAGATGCTGTCATGACAGTAATTTATTACTGTCATGACAGCCGTCTAGGGCCAACTTCTAGGAGACGTCGTTCCATCACTCAACCTCCAATCGAAGTAATTTTAAAGCTCACACGTCAAATTCAAAGGATACTATAAGTGTACCAAATTTCAAAAATATCCAACGGTTGAATTAAAAATTAGACATGTTAAAAAATTTGCTATTTTTGCTATCATGACAGCTGACAGCACCTCCGGATTAACTTTCGGGGTGCACCATTTCATCATCTGACCTCCGATCGAAGCGATTCCAAAGCCCACATGTCACTTTTAAATAGTACTATTAGCATACCAAATTTTAGAAAGATCTAACAGATGGATTGAATTTCGTGCATGTTGCAACATTAACATATATTGCTGTCATGACAGCACCTTTGCTGTCATGACAGCTCCTCCAGACTAAATTTCAGAGTGCGCCGTTTCTCCGTCTAATGTCCGATCGAAGTGATTCTAAAGCCCACACGAAGCTTATAAAAGATTTTACTTGTGACCCAAATTTTAGAGAAATTCAACGGTCGGATTAAGATTTGAATATCCGGATGCAAAAGTGTAGGTTTTTAGTAAAAACCATTTTCAAATTGTCCAAATCTCATCCTAATGGTCACAAACTTGTGAGAACACTTTGGACGTGTCAAATAGAACTAAAAACACCTGATAGAACATTTAAACGATAGAAAAATTATTTATACTAAAATTTGACCACTCGGGTGCCATTTCTCAAAATGGACCCTAAACCCCCAAAATGCATAAATCATATAAGAGTGGCCAAAAACTATTTCAAATATCATATATACATATGAATACACACGCTAAACATTTTCACTTGGCTCAGAGATCTCTATAGGGCCCACGCACCCACTCTTTCTATCCAAAGTATATGTTTGCCCATAACACACCATTTGCAATGCAACCACTTTGCATTTGCTTGTGAAATTATATATATATCAAAATAAATATTTTCTTGTAGTGAAAACTTGATCTACTAAATAAATCCATAAAAAACACATACCATAGCCATGTTTCTTAGCCACAAGTCTACAAGCAAACAAAAATTCATACACAAGCCATACAATCCACACATACTCATGCACATATACATAATCATATCCTACTGGCACCCTAATCCTAAATACATTACAATAGATTTGCTCAAAAGAAAGGGGTTGTAGTTCTTTATAATCCACAAATAATCCCTAGCTCTGCTCCTTTCCCCGTCCTCCACTGGTTCCTTCGCCTGGACCTAGAATATTGAAAAGAAAGGGGTGAGACAACCATAGTCTCAGTAACAGAGAAATCTACGTTGATGTCAGATTCTCTCCCCTACTGAGAGGTGTCAAACACTCAATACACTAACCACTTTAGTGCACTGAGCCCATAATACGTAAGGCAACACTGAGTACTGACAGTGTGCCATAGAATATCAAAAGTCCACACCTTCTCATTGGTGAACTCCCACCGAGATCATACTTTTTATTCGTGTCTACCTTTCCTAAGTATTGACCACTTCAGCACTCTAAGGTAGTATAACATTTATAAATCTCCTTTAAATGGTTCCTTAGCCTATATAAGGTACCTTACTTAGTTACACTCCCTTAAGTGCAACTTTTATTCCTTATGATTAAAATACATGTAAACAAATCTCGTTTTTATAAAAACATTGTTGTTAAACAATTAGAAAACATATTTGCACTATAATCAAAGTAGTACCCCATAACCCCTTATAAAGCACATTTAATCTTTTAAAACATGTAATGCATGATAGCTATTAA